CTTTGAAAACAAACAAAAACAACACTTGAAAACCTCATAGAGGAAAGGAAGTGGAGGTTTCCAAACCCAGATAAGCCTCAAGTTTATGAAGCAGAGAAAAAAAGCGTAAATCTAATTGCAGTTGAAAAGAAACCCTTCTCACCTCACTGAGGCCCAGTTTTCTTTTCACTGACTGACTCCTATTTAACTTGGCCAGCACAAAACACGCACCGAGGGTGGTGGCAGACAGGACACCTTCTTAAACAAAAGCTCATACCTTCTGGGTAAGAGAAAGCCAGAAGGCCGGCTAAAGCTTCCGCGAGCGCGCCTGCTTCCCGCCCAAAGGCGAAGGGGCGTTCCGGGGGCGTGGTCACAGGCCGGGCCAATTCGCTTCTCTGCCCGTCCCCACTCTTTTTTTTTCTCAGCTTCCACGCCCACGTCTTTTCACCGTGATCCCGGCAGGCCTCGCGGGGAGGATGAGTCACGTGACGGTGGGAGGAGCACGTAGAGGCTGATCCAGGCTGTCTCTGTGGTTGTCAGAGGCGAGCGGCGTTGACCGAGTTGCTGGTGAAGCTGGAGCGGACGGGTGAGTGTAAGACTCAGCTTTGGGAAGAGAACGCCTTTGAGGGGAACCGAAGCGGAACAACTTGGGCACCTGCCCTTGAGGCCAGCCATTCGGGTGGCCGCGTGAGGCAGTTGTCTCTCGCAGATTCCCTCAGCTTGGGGTGCTGCCTGCGTCCTGCCCTCCTATCCACTGGGGATCCCGGGTCCCTCAGCCCTGTCCCAGGAAAACTTGTGCACCCGCGTCCGGGACCCTGATAGTCCTGACAGCGTCTCCGGGAGTTCGTAGGCGTGGACTGGGGGCTTTACGGCGACACCTACGATAAACAGGTAGACTCATCATCCCGTCGGAAAGAGAAATGGAAAATCACTGGGCACCCTCAAGGAGCAAAACCTAGGGCGGCAGGCAGGTCCTTCTCCGGGCCTTTGCGTTCTCATTCTCTGTCCATCTGTCCGTCTTCCGGTCACCCAGACTGCCCCCACCCCCGCGATGCCCAGTCTCGTTTTCTTCCTATCTTGGTTTTGAGAATGTGGAATGTTGGGAAGACCAAGAAAAAGAAATCAAAGCAAGAGAATAAAAACACTTATTGTTGCCTTTTTATGTTCACTGGAATATTTACTACATTCAGTCGATTTTTGTTTATTTTTTGAGACAGTCTTGCTATGAGTCCTGGGTAGCCTGGATTTCCTGGGTTCAACCAATCCTCCTGCCTCAGCCTCCTGAATAGTTGGGATTCTAGATAGATAGGTGGATGACCAGCTTTATTTAGTACTCTTTACACTCTCAAAGGATGCATCTTGAAATGGACTTACATATATTTAAGATAAAATATCTAATGGTGTATCATTTCTCCCATAATTCAATGTTATATAAATTATAGCTGAAATATTTAACTGACAAACCTGTGAGAGTTTACATTATTTTATGTTACAGAACTAATGTAATGGATATAGTGGTGAAGCCTTTTTTAAAGATAACTTTTCTACTTTAAAGTTTTAGTTTTACATTGTGAGCAATTTTATTTTACAGTGACTACGACTGTAGCATTTGCTAAGTATTAGCCATTTTTTCCATATAGAGTTTTCCCCCCTTTTTTGTTTGTTATTTTTTTGCCAGTCTTGGGGCTTGAGCTCAGGACCTGGGCACTGTCCCTGAACTTCTTTTGCTCAAGATTAGCACTCTACCACTTGAGCCACAGTGCCACTTCTGGAGTTTTCTGTTTATGTGGTGCTGAAGAATCAAACGCAGGGCTTCATGCATGCAAGGCAAGTACTCTACCACTGAGCTACCTTCCCAGCCCACAGAGTTGTTTAATGTATTCCATTTATATATGAGAAGCATTTTTCTTCTTTTTGGTAGTTGTAGTACTGGGGTTTAAACTCAGAGCCTCACACTTTATAGCACTTGAGCCATACCTCCAGCCCCAAGAACCAATTATTTAAAAAAGGTTTACTACTCAGAACACTTCTGCCCTTGCCCCCTTGCTAAATAAAAACTTTATTTTATGGCAGTGAAAAATGTGATATTTATTTATTTATTGCGGTACTGGAGTTTGAACTCCTACTTATTACCACTAGAATCATATTCTCATCTCTAGGTTGTGACTTAGCTTTTAAAAACATCATTTGTTAACTTATGAAATCTAAAATTAGACTCTTTGATTGCATATGTATTTTGTAAATAATTTTTTGGTGTTGGTACTGGGGCTTAAACATAGGGGCCTGGAATTCTTGCTTAACTTTTTTGCTCAAGGCTGGTACTCTACCACTTGAGCCATATCTCCACTTCTGCTTGCATATATTTCTTTCATTATTACATGTATAGTGCCTTTGCTCTAGAGTATTGAGGTTTAATGATGTAAAGTGTGTTGTATACTTGGCTAGTTTGTCCACATTGATTATAGAAGGGTTTTTTTTTGTTTCTATTTTTGTTTGGAGCTGAGAACTTAACTCCAAATATTAAATAGACATAATTCCGTATCTTTGGACCCAATGATCATTGCTATTTTTACTGTGGATGAACTTGGCTAAGTAACTGTAGCTTATAAGCAGTAAATAAAATGTTTTAAATATTTAAAAATATGTAATCAATAAGATTAAATGCTTGATTCTTTTCATTATTCTATGTTCAAAGTCTCAGCAGAGGAACCACCCTTTGAACATTATGTGAAAAATACTGTAACTATCACTATTTGCCATTACTGGGTATCAACTTTAAAACTAATTAACATTAACATCTGGTTTTATATCTTTATGCATTATTGTGATAGCTTATTATATTTGAAGAAGAAATATAATTAGAATAACACATTTATCTCTCTGTCATGTTTTTGATTGAAAGAAATGTCAGCAGCTCAAGTCAATGGCATTTGAAATTTAATTGCTAACATTGGCAACATAGGGTTCAGTTTAGGTAGTTCCATGTTCTAAATTCCAGCCCTATCATTTCTCAAAATTGAGCAAGGTATGTAATGGTTCTGAACATGAATTTCTTCCTTTTGCAAAATGGAAATAATAATGCATCGCAAAAGTTCTTATGAAGAGTAAATTAACTAGTGTGCCTAGTGTCTGGAACGTAGAAGGTACTCATTGAATGTAATTGTCAGTAATAACTGCGGACAGAGCTTGCTGGCTTACGCTTATAATATTGGCTCTTTGGGAAAGCAGAAGAATCGAAGTTCAAGGCCAGCTTGGTGAAAATCAAGCCCTCTATATCAATTAGTAAACCAGGTATGTTGCTGTATGCCCAAAATCTCACCTACATAAATGGTAGGAGGATTGAAATTAGAGGTTGGCAGGGCAATAATGTAAGACCTTATCCAAAAAATAAGTAAAACGCAAGGGCTGGGAGTTTGGCTCAAGTAATAGTTAGAGAACCTGCCTAGCAAATGTTGAGACATTGAGTTCACGCCCTGCTAACCACTAAATAATAACAACATATTATAGAATTGTGTCTTATATGATTTTATTTCCCTAATTTCAGATTGTTTAACTCCAACAAATGTAAAATGTATATGTTTAAAATATATAGTTATTGGGGAAGGGGAGTGGGGAGTAGTAAGCAGGAGAAAATGAGGGAGGGGGTAACAGTGTTTAAAAAGAAATGTACTTATTACCTACTTATGTAACTAACCCCCCTGTTCACACTTTTACAATAAAATAAAATAAAATATGTGTCTGAGAAATTAAGTAGAAGATTTTTCAGCTTATCTTGATTTTAGCAGATTTTAAAATTCTATGTTGTATATCTGTCCATAAACTAGAAGATTTTGTTCAACTACGTAATTATTAGTTGAATACCCAAGTAATGGAAGAATGCCTTATCTGATTATTATCACTTTAGGCCTGGAAATTGTACTGAGAGACTCCTGAACTCAGTTAGGTTTAATCCTAAATGGAAAGTAGCATGGTTTTTTCCACTATAAACTGGTTGAGCATTTGGGAAGTTCAAGTCAGAATTCATTGTGACTTTTGGTAATAAAAATGTTAAAAATGAACTCAGGGCTTTGAACGTAACTAAGCAGCCAATCTGTCATCTGAGCCAGGCCCTATTTTCTTATTCTTAAAGATAAATTCAGGATTTTCTCCTATAAAGAAGTAGTAAATCTTTGAGACTAGTGGTAGAGCATCAGTTGTGAACAAAAAAGCCAACCTCCAGTACCAACACATTAAGACAAAATGAAACAAAAGTTTCATGACATAAAATTTACCAATACCCATTAGAATGACATTTTTAAAATAGTATTCTATATGCTAAAGAAGCTAGAAAAAAGATTGAACATATTAAATGGACAAGATAAAAAAAAGACATGCACTGAACTCAGAATTAGAAATAATGTCTGAGATGGAAAAATATACTGATTTTTATTAATAGCAGGTTAGACATAAGAGAAGAAAAACTAGCTGTGTACTCATGGCTCACTCTGTTATTAGCTACTCAATTACTAATCTACTTACTAGTTACTCAGAAAGCTGATATTGGGAGGATCATGATTTGAAGGTGAGTCTGAGCAAAAATTCTAGAGACTCCATCTTAACTAATAGCTGGGCAGTGGGACACCTGCCATTCCAGCTATATAAGGAGCCTAGATCAAGAGGATCATGGTTCCAGGCCAGTCATGGCTAAATAAAACCAACCAACCAAACAACAACAACACAATGAGAGTCCATCTCAACAGAAAGAAGTAGGTACAGTGGCACATACCTGGCACATTCCCGGCTGTGGCAGGAAATGTCAAATAGGAAAATAGTGGCCCTAATTGGCCTGTGCCGAAAGTGACTGTCTTCAAGAAAAGCAGAGCATAAAGGGCAGGAGGCATGGTTCAAGCTGTAGAGTGCCCACCTAGCAAGTACAAAGCCCTGAGTTCAAATTCTAGTACTGACCACCAAAAAAAAAAAAGGAAGGAAGAAAAGGGCCTCATGGGAGCTGGGAAGGTGGCTCAGTGGTAGAGCGCTTGCCTTGCATGCATAAGGCCCTGGGTTCGATTCCTCAGCACCACATAAGCAGGGAAAAAAAGCTGGAAGTGGCACTGTGGCTCAAGTGGTAGAGTGCTAGCCTTGAGGTGAAGAGCTGAGGGACAGCGCCCAGGCCCAGAGTTCAGGCCCACGACCGGAAAAAGAAAAGAGCCTCATGAAGAATACAAAATAATCTGCAGAATTCTTACCAAAAATACTTATTAGACTCAGATCAAACCTTTACATGTAAATTCCTTGTAAAAAAGTAAAAGCAAAAGAAAAGCAACTTAAACTGTACCATAACTACTCAGATCCAGAAAATGGAAAATGTTGCAATATGGTATTCAGAAACTCCTGTTGTGGTATGTTTGCACAAATGTATGCTTAATAATGGTCCCAATGGTGTAAGTACATATTATATTTTACATATTCGAGAACCATCTATGGACAGTTGGCCTCCTTCACCTTTGGGCTATTGTTGAATAATGCTGCTGTGAGCAGAGTTGTATCAATATCTGTTTTAATCTCTATTTAATTCTTTTGCATATATACCCAGAAGTGGAGTTGCTG